GGCGCGGGCCGGGTGAGCGCCGGGCTGGGTGAGGGAGGGGGCAGTCTCGGACTGGGCCCCGCGGCGGGGGAGCCTGCCCTTCTCACCTCCGTTGTTGATTCTCCTTCAGCCTCGGTGGCAGCGGGCGGCGCGGCTCCCCCTGAAGGGGCAATGTCTAATGGGGTTTACGCCCTGCCGAGCGCGGCCAACGGAGAAGTGAAGCCCGTAGTGTCCAGCACGCCTCTCGTGGACTTCTTGATGCAGCTGGAGGACTACACTCCTACGGTGGGCTTCCCGCCTGAATAAGGCCATCGGGCTCGCTGTCGTGCCTATCAACCACACCTTCGTACTTTCAAGCGTCCTCTTTGCTACAGTGCTAGCTGTTTTTATTCCTTCTTCCCACCCAGCGCATCAGGGGTCAGGGCTAATACTGACCGCTGTTTAATTTGATTTCTCAGATCCCAGATGCAGTGACTGGTTATTACCTGAACCGTGCTGGCTTTGAAGCTTCAGACCCACGCATGTGAGTAAGCTCAGGGCAGGGCACATTGGACTGTTGAATGCTGGGTGCAGTTTATTGTGTATTTCATTATCACCTCCCCACTTTCCTCTCTAGAATTCGGCTCATCTCACTAGCTGCCCAGAAATTCATCTCAGATATTGCCAACGATGCCCTCCAGCACTGCAAAATGAAGGGCACAGCCTCAGGCAGCTCCCGGAGCAAGAGCAAGGTGTGAAAGAGGCTCACCTACCACAGCAGTACAGGATTAACTTATCCTGAAACCCCTTTGGGGAAGCAGCATCCTAGGGGAGGTATTGGGCCTACTCAGGGTCACCCACAAGGGACTGGAATCTGGGATTACGGTGTTCAGATGGTGGTCTTCCCTCTTCCCATAGGACCGCAAGTACACCCTTACCATGGAGGACTTGACCCCTGCCCTCAGCGAATATGGTATCAATGTGAAGAAGCCGCACTACTTCACCTGACCCACCTAACCCAGACGTATTTGTCTTTTCCTCTGTCCCCACACCAGCCTGTTTTCATAATAAACTTTATTGTGACAGGCAGGGCTTATCCCTCCCATGTTGGGAGACATCATGTGGCAAGTGACAAAGCTCTGAGCCCAGCCCCTTTTGGGGCTACAGTGGTAGGGATGGGAGCAGGGATGAGCCCCATAACTGGGGTAGTACCATAATTGGAGATGGGGAGGCAACCAGAGGCCTTCAGCTTTGGGGAAGTGCACTCCCCCAACCATGTTTTGACACCTCTGGAGTTTGAGCAAGGACCTTCCAGTCCTACTTGTCCTGCATCTTCTCCAGGATAGGCACAATCATGTCAAACTTGGGTCGCTTTGCAGGGTCTTCGTTCATGCAAATCTTCATGAGCTTACACACGTGTGGGGAAATACCTGGTGGAATGGTAGGCCGAAGGCCTTCCAGTGCCACCTGCAAATTATAAGGAACAAGGTGAGCTTTAGATTTTGAGTTGATCATTTGGTAAAAAGTTTTGACCCTTCAATGGGATTACTATTTATCTGTATAAATTGTGAGAAGAGCTTACCACAGTGAGCTTTGTCATCACCACTACCCCTACACAAGTATCTGCAGTTCTGTGCTCACCTTCATTCCAATCTCCATATTAGAGAGGTCAGCAAAAGGCACCTCTCGTGTCACCAGTTCCCACAGAAGCACTGCAAAACTCCACATGTCTGCTGAGCGTCTGTTTGTGTCTTCAGGCTTCTTCTGCAGGGCTGCAAGGAATAGGGCTTACTATTCTAGTTGCCTAGCCTGGCCTGTCTCTGCCTCTTCTACTATTACTGAGCTGATTCTTCTCAATTTCCCAACATGATGCCATCACCTACCTTCCGGGGCCACCCAGGCAGGTGCATACATGCGCCCGGGGCACTGGAAAGAGAACTTGACATCAGCCATGCTGATTCGAGCAGTCATGTCTTCATCGATCTGAGGAAGAGAAGTTCAAAAAGGTGGGTCCTATTGTCGGCAAGCAAAGGGCTTCGGGAGCCAGTAGTCAATGTGGCCTCACCATTACGCTACGGCTGTTTAGTGCATGTCGAGGTATGAGAGGCTCTAGTGTGTGGAGAAAAGCCATGCCTCTTGCCATGTCCAAAGCAAACTTTACAGCTTGGCTCTGGTCCACGACGAAATCTAACAGGAAGCAAGAATCAATAATTTAGAGTCTACCACCCATTCTAGTCCCTCCCCAACAAGGCCAGCATCCTTACTGGTGCCTTCATGTAGTACATTGTAGAGAGATCCATATGGCATCCAGTGTGTGATAAGGGTTGGATGGGGAGCTGGTGGAGCCTGGCAAGCACCTAGCACTGGAAGCACGTTTGGATGTGAGAAAATCCTGGGAGAGGGAGAAGGTGGTGAGACCCAACAGAATTACCCTTTCTAGTACCATTCGGAGTTCCTTAGAAACAACAGCTTCCACTTTAGCTGTCCCACCTGAGCCTAGGACACTCCTCATTGAAGTCTCTGCTTTTCCTTGTACTCCAGTCTCGAACCTTCAGCACCTTCACAACAATGTCATTGCCCTGCCAGCGGCCTTTCCATAGCTGAAGGACAGGTAGAGGTTAGGAGGCATTAGCTCAGGCTATATTATTTCTTTTCCACTAAGTGGAAGAAAACCTTAATGGAGATACAGACTGGCAGTTTGTGAGTGTTAGAGAGGGAGGGGCAAGAAGGGCAGGGATCACCTCTCCAGAATGATTCTCGTTGAGCTTTGCCAGAAAGTTGAGTTGTTTGAAGTCAATACCGGAGTGTTTGTTCAGGGTCCCATTTCCTGAGAATATGGGCAGGTCAAGTACCCAGCTTCACCCTAACCCACCCCAATAGTCCAGGATCCTGTATTACAACCCCTCCCCCCACAGTAGTGACTCACGGGGCCGAGTGCGAGTGGTCCCCTTCCAGAATGTGTCCTTGTATGGAATACGGTTGAGATTCTGGCCCATCTTCTCTGCCCGTTCTGGGGAGGAAAACAGTCTTAGCCTTAATTGTGTTATGAAGGGAAGAGACACAAGATGGGACAAGAGGACACAAGCTAGGGAGAGAGAGTGGACCTCGGAGAAGCTCTCTAAGGGGTGCCTT